GGGACCTTTCAGTCCGCAGGTCGACGCTCTGTCCACTGAGCCAAACCGGTTTCGGCAACAAGTCCTTTATTAAACATACGATTTACAGATCCCAGTCTGTGGCTTATCTTTCTGTTGTTAACAGCATCTCTCAGAGAGCAGTTAAAAGACAAAAGGCCGAGAGCAGTGTTAATGTTGCTGACGTCTCACTGATCACTTGTTTCCTGTATGGGCTGTGCATCTGGTGTGGTGTCTAAGGAATCTTTGCCTCCAGCAAGGCCTAAGGGCTTTTCTTGGGCCCCTTTTACTTTGCTCGCTTCATGTTGTATGTGTAGCTCCTGTTCCGTTTTGAGTGACCCGTGGCCCCTCCTCATCAGCGTTGAAGGCTGATTGTTCTGCATGTGGACAGTGGATTGTTGTGGCGACGCTTGTCGGGAGGACTGTCCTTCCGCTGCGCTGCTTTCCCACCTCTTGTCTGAAACCAGTTGCACATACCTGTATGGGTCCGCCGTGGACTCTTCATTCTGTCCTATTGGTGTGTGTACCTGTGTGTAAACACGTGCTGCCTCGGTTACCAGCGCTTTAGAATAAGTCTTGAAATCAGGTAGTGTTAGGTCTTGCACTAATTCTTTATTAAAGTTAGTTTGGCTGTTTTAGGTTCTTTGAATTTCCATATGAACTTTAGAATCAGTTTGTCAATTTCTAACAAAAGAATCTGCTATGGTTTTGATTTGGATTCTTTTGAATCTGTAGATCAGTTTGGGAGAATTGGCACCTAAATAAATTGGAATTTTCCTACCCATGGACAAGGTGCACTTCTCCATTATATGTAGGTTCCCTTTCATTTCTTTTCACAGCTGCTTGCAGTTTCTAGTGTACAGGTCTTGCTCATCTTTTGTCAGATTAATGCCTAAGTGTTTTATATTTAATTTCAAGGTCTGATTATTTGTTGCTAGTATATAGAAATACCATTGATTTTATTTTTGGTATATTAATATCATGTCTTATAAGCTTACTGAGCTCAGTTATTAGTTCATGATTGGGTTTATAAAAAAATCTGAAGAAATTTACAAAAAAATTTACATCTTTTTGTAAATTTCTTCAGATTTTTTTATAAACCCAATCATGACATCTGCAAATAAAGGCCGTCTTGCTTCTTGTTTACCAGGCTGGATGCCTTTTACTTCCTCTTTTCTTGCCTTATCGCGCGGGCAAGACCTTCAGTACAATGTTGAAGTGGTGAGAGCAGACTTCCGGGTCTATTCTCCGTCTGAGGAGGAAGCGTTCAGATGGGCACCAGTTGGTGTGTTGTTAGTTATCCGTTTTTCAAGGATGCTCTTCATGAGGTTAGAAGGTCCCTTCTGTAGTTGGCCGAGTCCTTATCAGGAGTGGGTGAGGGGTTTTGTTAAATGCCCATCAATAGGACAGAATTCAGCGTGGTCTTGCGGCAGCCAGCACAGGGGCGTGCGCCCTCGAAAGCAGGGGCCCTGCCACGCTGTGAGCTGTGTCTGAGCATCTGTGCTGTCCCTCGACTTCCCGCTGGTGTTGTGTATCCATTAGCAAGAAGGGCCCTGAGGCACTAGGAAGGCCCGAGGGAGCTCGTGTGGGAGCCACAGTTAGCGTAACACTGCGTGTAATGAAGAGTCTGACTGTGGGCATGAAATGAACACATTGTATGTGCATTACATTTGGGGTCTGGGTCTGAGAATGCTAAATTTTTTTTCCTATAAATTGATGATAATTGCGCCTTCACTTGGCTCCATTTTGGCTTCCAAAAGATTTCCTAGGCCTGGTCTACGGTGGGAAAGCAAGGAAAACTTGTATTTTCATTTCCGTTATCTCAAGGGATCTTTAAATTTCATTTCTTTTTTAATTTCTTCTTCGACCCATTGGATCTTCAGTGACATGTTGTTTAATCTCCACATATTTACGAATTGTCCAGATTTCCTTGTGTAATTTCTAGTTTCATACCATTGTTGTCAGAAAAGATGCTTGACATTATTTTAATCTTTTAAATTTTATTAAGACTTGTTTTGTGCCGTAGGCGGTTTGGCTCAGTGGATAAAGCGTCGGCCTGCGGACTGAAGGGTCCTGGGTTCAGTTCCGGTCAAGGACACAGGCCTGGGTTGCGGGCTTGATTCCCAGTAGGGGGCGTGCAGGAGGCAGCTGATCAGTGATTGATCTCTCATCATTGATGTTCCAATCTCTCTCTCCCTCTCCCTTCCTCTCTGAAATTAAAATTTTTTTTAAAAAGACTTGTTTTGTGCCTTAACATATGATGTATCCTGAAAAATATTCCACGTATACTTAACTACAATGTGTGTTTTGTTGCTTTTGGATGTTATGTCCTTTATATATGTTAAGTCCATTTGGTATTATGTGTCATTTAAGGCAGATGTTTCCTTATTGGCTTTTTTGGTCTGAATGTTCAATACATTGATGTAAATGGGGCATTAAAATCCCTTACTGTTGTATTGCTGTCTATTTCTACCTTTAGGTCTTTGAATGTTTACTGTATATATTTAGGTGCTCCTATGTTGGGCGCATAAATGCTCCCAAGTGTTATATCCTCTTGGTGGATTAACGCCCTTATTATGTAACTAGAGGCCCTGTGCACGAAATTCATGTACTCAGCGTTGGGGGGGGGGGATCCCTCAGCCTGGCCTGTGCCTTCTCACAGTCTGGGAGCCCTCATGGGATGTCCAGCTGATGGCTAAGGCCTGCTTCCCATGAGCGCCGCATGTGGCTCGCGAGCCACAGTTTACCGACTACTGGCCTAAGTCATCCTTAGTGCTGCCATGGAGGCAGGAGAGGCTCCCGCCATCGCCACTGCACTCAGCAGCCATGAGCCTGGCTTCTGCGTGAGCAGTGCTCCCCCTGTGGGAGCACACTGACCACCAGGGGGCAGCTCCTGCCTTGAGCATCTGCCCCTGGTGGTCAGTACGCATCATAGTGACCGGTTGTTCTGCTGTTTGGTCGATTTGCATATCAGCTTTTATTATATAGGACGCCCTTCTCTGTCTCTTATTACTACTCTCTTCATTTTAAAGTCTACTTTGTCTAATATAAGTATAGCTATCTTCGCCTTTTTGTTTGTTCCCATTTGCATGGAATACCTTTTCCCTTCCATCACTTCCAGTCTGTGTGTCCCTACGTCTAAAGGGAGTTTCATGTAGGCAGCATATAAACGGGTTTTATTTTTTTATCCACTCAGCTACTCTGTCTTTGGCTGAAGAACTTAGTCCATTGACATTTAAAGTAATTATTGAGGGTATGCACTGATGGTCCTTTTGGTAATTGTTTGCAGGCTGTTTTGTAGTTTCCCTGTTCCTTCTTCTCTTGTTCTCTTCCTTTGTAGTCGATGACTAGTTAGTGGTTTACTGACATCCCTCCTCTTCTCTTCTGTGTACTGACTGTAGGGTTTGCTTGGTGGTTATAATGAGGCTTGCATGTTACAACTTACATCCATAACCGTCTATTTTAGGTTGATAACAGCTTGTTGGATCCCATTCTACAGCTCAGCATTTTACTCTCTCCCACATTTTATATCACGTTTTACATCTTTTACCTTGTATATCCCGTAACTAGTTATCATAATCAGAGTTGTTTTTACTGTTTCTGTCTTTAACCTTCTTTAGCTTTATAAGTGATAAATCTACCACCTTTATTATATACCCACCTTTCCAGTGAGATTTATTATTTCATGTGTTTGCTTGTTATTAATTAGCACTCTTACTTTTCACCCGAAAGAAGTACCTTTAAGGCTGGTTTAGTAATGATGAACTCCTTTCGTTTTTGCTTATCTGGAAAACTATTTCTCCTACAGTTCTGAATGGCAACTTTGCCATAAAGTATTCTTTTTCTTTTGTTTATTTAAAATCCTCAACTGAGGATGTCTTACTGATTTATTTGTTGTTTTTTATTTTTTATTTTGAGAGAGAGAGAGAGAGATGAGAGAAACATCAATCGGTTGCCTCCTGTACATGCCCTAGCCAGGGATCAAACCCACAACCTAGGTATGTCTGCTGACCAGGAATCAAACCAGCAACCTTTCGGTGCATGGGATGACTCCCCAACCAGCTGAGCCACACTGGCCAGTGATGCCGTGGAGTATTCTTGGTTGGAAGTTTTTCTTCATTTTGCCTATATTGTGGCACTCAATTCTGGCTGCAGAATTTCTGCTGAAAAATCTGCTGGTGGTCTTATGGGAGTTCCCTTGTATGTGGTTGTTTTTCCCTCGCTGCCTTACTATTCTCCCCTTGCCTTTAACTCTTGTCGTTTTAACTGTAACGTGTCACGGTGTGGATCTCTATGCGTTCATATTTGGAACTCGCTGGGCTCCCTGGATGTGGATGTTTGTTTCCTTCCCCACGATGGGGAAGTCATTTTTCAAGTAATTCTTTTGTTCTTGGTCCGTTTGCGAACGTGCACTGGTCTTAGACAAGTCCCAGGCCTGTCTTGTGAAGTGTAGCTGATGGTCCCACTGTGACTCCGGTGCATTGAGTTACTTGTAAAACCCTTTGGAAAATTAGAAGACTACCTAATAGATGTGTTATTAATTAATAACACAAAATACACCAGCCAATGGTTTGTTGAGAAGTTCCGTCTTGTTGAACAGCATGTTCTGTTTGCACCCTAACTTAACCATTCTCTCTAGTATTTCCCACCACATGTAACGTCACAGGCTTTGCACCCTGAGCGGCAGCCAGCAGAGGCGTGCGCACTCCAGCGCGGGCGGCCCCGCCACACTGACTGTGAGCGTCTGTGCTAAAGTTTGTTTGGATTCAGGTTTTCACAACAGGGTAATGGGAAAGGGCACGGGAAGGGAGGCCGGGCCTGCCAGCCCTGGGGTAGCTGGTCAGCGGAAGGATGCGTGTGTGTAGCTGATGCCTGGCGAGCTGGCCGTGTGCATCTGTGTGCAGGTGATGTCTTTGTCTGGGTGGGGCAGAATGAACGCATCGACCGGAGTGGGAGGGTAGGAGTTCAGAGGCAGGAGATCACGCATTTCTCTCTCATTGCAGGTATTTCTTGGTGGATTTTTATGCACCAACAACAGTTGTGGAAAGCATGCTGGACCACTTGTCTCGAGACATTGACGTCATCAGACCTAATATTGTGAAGCACCCTCTGACCCAGGAAGTAAAGGCGTGTGAGGGGATTGCCCCGGTCCCACTTGAAGAAAAACTGTACTCCACCAAGAAGAGGAAGTGAGGTGCTCCGGGGTTCAGCCTTCTCTTCAGTCCTCTCACTGCTGAGCATCGCGATGAGTCATTCACAGCCTGACCTTCACCTGTGTGCCGGGTGCCATGGGAGCGTCTGGGGGTGTTGGCTCTCGGTCCCCTTTGCGGGGAGAGGTGGTGATGGCTGGCTGGGAGCCGCTCTGTATCTGCTGGTCCCACTGTCCCAGTCAAATACATCGTTCTTGATTTTGTTAAAGTAAATGTAATTTTTTTGCCCTATAACACTTAACACCATTTTGGAGAACAAAACATAATATATCTTGGATTGTGAGGTAATCATTCATACTGTATAACCGTGCAAAATAAAATACGCAGATTGTAAAATTCTGTGGTCTTGTGTGAGTGACTTCTGATCAGAGTAATAAACTGGGTCACGTGGTGGGTGTGGGCAAGGCTTTTTCTCTGCCTCCCGTTAACTGTGGGGACACTGAGGGCAGGGAGCCAGCGCCAGCCGGGCACCCGTCTCCTGTTAGCCCTGGGGACACCGGGGGCCAGCGCCAGCCTGGGCGCCCACTCCCTGCGGCTGCAGGCGGCCTGGGTCACCTGTTGCTTTGCTCACTCTTTAGGGCAGTGATGGCGAACCTTCTGAGCTCGGCGTGTCAGCATTTTGAAAAACCCTAACTTAGCTCTGGTGCCGTGTCACAGATAGAAATGTTTTGATCTTTGCAAGCATAGTAAAACAAAGACTTATATTTTTGATATTTATTTTATATATTTAAATGCCATTTAACAAAGAAAAATCAACCAAAAAAATAAGTTCGCGTGTCACCTCTGACACATGTGTCGTAGGTTCGCCATCACTGCTTTAGGGCCGGATCAGCTTCACTCCTGCAGAGGCAGGCGCTGCAGCTCTGGAGAGCAGGCAGGGAGAGGGTCTTAGCACTGCGGGCGGAACAGGGGAGAGAGGGAGGTCATTCGGGAGATAGCAGCTTCCTGTTTCCTGAGGAGTTTCCTGGCCACCATGGTTTCGTCCTGCGCACGTTGACCCAGTGCTGCCTCCTCTGTGAGAGGAGCAGGCAGACAGGACGTGGGTGCGGGGGGGAGGGGGGAGGAGTGT